ATATATATATATATATATATATATATATATATCACTTGCAGATTCTCATGAATAGAATATCATGGGGTGATTGTCTTAGCAATATTTTCTTAAAGAAAGGAGAACTACTTTAGAAGAGAGGGCTGACTAGATTGTTCGGAGTGTGTTAGTTTTATACCCCTATCACATACTCCAGTTATAAAAATAAAACAATATATCCTAGCATAGCCATCACTACCATTGGAATGGGTTAGTTCATTTCCTCAAGAAAGAAACGCTGCTACCAAATGATGTCGATCCAGTGACAACAGCTTGGGACGTTCAAACGGCATGAAGGAATATATGGACTGGATAAATACATCAAAAACAAGTGAGTGGGTTATAAATTCTTAATATTACATTTTAGCCTATAATCATAAGTAGTTGAATTGATTTTATAACTATTTTTAGGAATTATTATATCACTACTCCCATGGATAAATGAGATTTTATAACAAATGATACATTTTTATCACACTCTATTTGAAACAGTGGTGTATTTTTCAAAAACCTGAGATGTTTTGTTAACTTTTCAAGATTGCATTGAAACCCCAAATTTTTATTACTTCTGTAGAAGTTTGATTTTTACAAGAAGCATTTTTAAATCCATCTTTTTTGGATATGAATTCCTATTACGTTAAGTTATTACCAAAGTTGAAGAAATAGCTTGAGGGTGGAGTTGTTTCTCTAATACCTCAGTTTGTTAAATTTTAAAAGTTTACTTTACTCTCCCAAAGAAAAGATTTTTACTCTATATTGTTTTAATACTACAAGGCTTTGACTTTAAAATTTAATTTTTGAAAACGAGAGATTAAAGTTGATTTTACAGCTTGGGATTCTACCCAAATTGATTACTCAAATTTCAAAGTAGAAATGATGAATACTTTAATCTTACACAGGACTTTCTTAATTATTCAAAGTTGAATATATTCCTTGTTTAAAAGAAAAGAAATTGATTGAGCATTCTTAATCAAACTCTACTCCAATATATATACATATATTTTCGAGAATCAGTTGAATTGAGCACAAACTAGGGTTTTCACACTCCATTCTCAGAAATTTACCTTAGGTGAAATCTAGAAATAACAACCCTAGAAGGAATTAGAAATCCTGTCGGAACTACATGAGGACTCAAACGAATTTAGCATAAGGGAATGAAATAGAATAGAATTGGATTTGAGGAAAGGGATTTCGGTAATACCTGATTTCGGAGAAAGAACGCCGGCGAAGAAGAAAACTTGACGGTTGGCGGCGGGCGACGGGGACGATGTCGACGATCGGCGAAGATGATCACCGATTGCTCTCCCTCCCTCTCGTTTTCTTCGATATCATCGCACAGACAGAAAAAAAAAGAAACGGAGAAGTCCATTAGATTCTTATTGCTCCGTAAAAATTTTAGAATTAAAAGTATTGAGCATATTTCTATTTTCAATTTAGAATTTACATTTATAAATTTACCATCAACTTTTATTCTCATGATTACTCAAAGCATTAATTGGGCCTTAAGTTTGCAATTTGGGCCACTCATTTTGATCATAGCCAATTTTCTTATGGATTCAATATGGTTATAAATTATTTTGGTCTAGAAGATGATTTTATAATCTTCGGGTACTAAATTGCGGGATAGAATATATTGTCTCTTTTTTGGATACAGAATAATAATAGATCTTCTTATTTTATACTGAGATGCTATTATTAGTTGGGCCCTTAGGTATATGGCTTTAGAGCCATCGGTGGATAAATCTCGGTCGTAGATTGTTTTATAGTGCCTCCCTAAGTGGACGCATAATAATAATAGGTCCGGGTGCCGGATGCTATTATTGGACGAGTAGGAAGGGTCATGCGTGATTGCTTCCTAGCCCACAACTAAGAGAAGCTACTTCTGAGTACCTCCCAAGTGTTAGGGCTTAGCGCCACCACTAAGACTAACACGCCCTAACGCCGAGGTCTTTGGGGATAGGGTTAGGCTTTAGCCATGAATTCCCTAATTTTTCCAATGACAAGAAAAAAAGGAAGATTAATCTTGCGGGATTAATTTCTTCATTTTAGTGTGAAATGAAATTGTTGATTTTCAAGACAGATACTTCGGCGAGTGTTCTAAGATAACTTGATCAGTTAGCTTGAGCACAAAAGAGGGGCTCCCCATCAGAATGTACGATTTTAAGAAAAAGAAGATTTCTAAATCTATCTCCTTTGAAACAGTTATTCTCGAGAATGAGATATCAGTTATTCGATAAACGAAAAGAAGAGGAAAGATTTTCGAAAGCCATTTCTTTTGAAATAGTTGTTCTCATGAACGAGATATCAGTTTTGATAACTGAAGAATTAAATCTTCATTTTAAATTGTTTTGAAACTTCCAGACCTATGGTATTAGGTTGAAAATAGATTTTTAAATATAATGATGTAAATTATGGGATAATTTATTATCTTGAGTTTGAAAGTAATAACAAAGCATTTTTGTTGAACCCTTGTAATTATATGATAAAATATAATAGTCTGAATTTGTGGCTCCTCACCAGTACACGATGTGGCGTTGCACTGACCCCTTAACAATTAGAAGAATGGTAATTAAGGTATGGACAATTCTCTATACAGATTACAATTCTCTAATTGTTGGGGGACGCCTTAACAATTAGAAGAATGGTAATTAAGGTATGCAGATGTCATTCTTTTATGTTTAAAGGGGGAGGCTTACCGTGGTCTGGAGGAATGAAAATATATATATTATGAATACATTATGTAAACCTTACAACCTTGTGGATATACTTAAGGAATTCCAAATAGTATTGTAAATGTTATTTACAAAAATAGATATTCCTTGGCACAGGATAAATCAAAGTAAGAGTAAGAAGAGTGTAAAACACACTATTATTTTAAACCTCCACTACACTGGGACTACACCACAAGACATACAAGAAACATGAGAAAAGCACAACAGGAAAGTTACAAGATAAACACGACTCCCACTATACTAGAGTATGTAACGTTAGCAAAAGCTAACCGTATAAGAGAAATAGTTGTCGTTCGTTCTCCATCCAAAGGATGAAAACTAGAACGACGAGGAACTCTACCAGTATCATAAGAAGAATCAGCTTAATAATGACATCCATGATGAACTTAAAGATTACGGTGAAAGTGAGGGGGAAAGTTTCTAATTATATAGATAGTAACTTTATGTTTAAATAGGAAAATGTTTAGGAGATTTACCGCGTTAAAGAAAAAGGGTGGTGAAAGGTATAATTAGTTGAAATCTTTGAAGATTTCTTAAAAGAAGAGAAGCATGCTAGTGGCCAACTCTGTCCTGATAATAATATCAGGATCACTGAGCATGGATTTGCAACAGTACGAGTGGATTCAGTCATTTCAAATATTTACAACGGGAAAATCTGACAGTAATTACTAATGTACTATGAAGTAGTCGATGTCGAATAAATAAGCGTCTCACCTAGACATAAAAATGATACGGTCAAAATAGTAGCGAAATATTTAGATCAGATGGAAATGTACAACTCAAGTTTGTATCCCAACGGTAAGATCAAGATCTCACTACAATGAAGACACTATTTGAAGTGTAATATAAAAGGGAAAAGAGCGAGAAGAGTTGGAACATCATCCATACTCAAATAGGCAAAGTCATAACAAGAAAAATACAAACCCTTACTTGAGGTACCCAATGGCCAACAACAGAATGAGAGCGGGAAACGTAGTGCGAGAAGAGGATTGCCAACAGAATCACCTCGAGAGAAATCCTCACAATTCACCCAACGAGTGAGCTAATCTTCTAAACCCAAACCTAAGAGTTGTCATCGGTAGGCCTATTCCACCGGCCACACTACCCCGTTTATGGATACCATCACGATTACCCTCAGGATTTCACAAAGAAAGTCGGTCCCCTCTGGTTCCAACTAATACCCCTCAAATCTCCACGTCATCGTCCACCAACTCGAGCTACTCAACAATGAGCACTCGAGAGGCACTCACGAATGTGATGGACTTGAACTGTCCTACTTTTGAGGGAAGTGGGAGTATAAATGGAGCACATAGATGGATGAGGAGGGTGGTTGACACCTTTCGCGACCTTGGACTCTCCGATGATCTAAGGATCCAAATAGCACCAGAGCTACTAGTAGGAGCTGCACGAGTTTGGTGGGAGCGCACCAAGAGACGCTTGAACAATGAACCCACTTGGTTTGATTTTGTTCGAGAGTTCAACACCTATCATTACTCACCTGTGGACCAAGAACATTTTGAAGCCTTTTTCTTCGGCTATAGGCAGGGGGACAACATGGTAAGAGAATATCAGGAGGTCTTGAGGAGTGCATCGCTGTTCTTACCCGAGTATTCTACAAATGATGAGATGTGTAGCAATAGGTTCATGGCTGGACTTAATCCACGAATTCGTCAAATCATGCATGTACCACCCGCGAGCAGTTTTGAAGATCTAGTCCTCATTGCAGAGGAAGCTGAGATAGTCTGGAAAGGGGAGAATAAGGAAAATTCTAAGGTGGGGAGAACACGAAGGGATGCCCAAGGATCGTCGACCCATAGGGTGGGAGCAGGAGACCAGCTAAAAGAGGCAACGTCGAAGAAGAAAAAGAAGAGGAGCAAGAGGTGTCATCTGTGTGGTGAACTAAGCCATGCCCAGGAGAGATGTAATCCCGACGAGACTAGACCCACGGGAGGCCCAACCCGAATGAACCCTACCCGTTACAATTCTGACCTAGAGGAACCATTTTGTGATGTCCCACTTGACTGGGCAGTGTACCCATTCATATATTTTTCCTCATCTATCTTGACTGGGCAGTGTGCCCAAGTCGAATGAACCCTACCCGTTACAACCCCTGTTGGGGACTTGTCGTGCGGTCCAAAACAAATTAAAAATTTATAAAATATCCTTAGCTAACCCCCAATATATAATAAAATAAAGACTATAGCTAGGGCAAGTAAGGGTCGATCCCACGGAGAAAGTTTGTACTTTTGAAATCATTTAAGCATGCACACACATTGTCACGAAATAAAATAAAAAAAAACTACACATATGATAAGAACTTATAAAACTTATAACTAAAAACATATAAATATAACTTATATAAACAAAGAACTTATAATATAACTTATAAACATAAAACATATACTTAAGATATACTAAAAAATATATAAAAACTTATATTTATAACTTAAAACACAAAAGGGGGGGGGGGTTTGAATAAAGAGTAAATATTTTTTGGTTTTTTAAATTATCTTATTTTTTTTTTGGATTTTTTTTGATAAAATGGGGGAAACAATCTCAAAAGATAATCAACTTCTCCAACAAAGGTAACCCAAGAAACACCGCCAAGAACC